ATATGTATATATATATATATATGTATATATGTATATATGTATATATGTATATATGTATATATATATATATGTATATGTGTATATATATGTATATATATATATATATATATATGTGTATATATATATATATATATATATATATATATATATATATATATGTATATATATATATATATGTATATATATATATATATATATATGTATATATATATATATATATATATATGTATATGTGTATATGTATACAGCTATTTCAATTAAGGTTGTCCGCGAGCAAAGCAGAAAAGTCGAATATGAGTGCGAAAGACTGCTGGGAATTGCTTTGAAAATTCATAAATTTTTTAGCGATTGCCAGCAGCCTTTCCCGCTCGTATTCGACTTTTCCGCTTTGCTCGTGGACAACCTTAATTGAAATAGCTGTATGTAATGGCATACGAATATGGACATACAATAAGTGTTTTTTGATGGACTTATACACAGGGTAGCTTATATACAGGGGGAGTGTACATGGACAACATTTTGTGTAATAGTGATAAAAAAGTATAGTAGAAGGGGGTATATGGCAAGTAATGATCCATTCAATTTCGGTTACAGTCACTGGTGAAAACACTAAAAATTTACTGTGAAGTGTGCGGAAAAAAATACTGTTTATCATTTCAGAATACTTTTCAAACATTTACCGTTAAAATACCAAAATTTTTACTGTTCACTGATTTTCATACACCCCCTATCTAGACCCTCTGCTAATAGTGATAAACAAGTGTTAAACAAGTATAGTTATGGTGATAAACAAGTGGACGTATATTTGGGTGGGCTTATATTCGGGGAGGGCTTATATTTGAATGGTGTGAACGTTAGTAATGTGATGGGCTTATAGGCAGGGGGCTTATATTTGGGGGGGGGTTGCTTATAATCGGAGGTTTATGGTATTTATATACTGTGGTTATATTTATGCAGCTATCAATGTTAAGCCCCAGGGGAGAGGTCGGACATATGTGGAGTGTCTGATCGATTTTTGTTTCCCCAACCTCTGGAATTTGATCGACACCATCTCCAGAGGGTGGGGATATTTGATTTGAGCACCATCTTGCATCCCGAGGAAGAGGACATGTTGAGAACTGGGACTTTCAAGCCTCCCCATAAAACGATTGATGAAATATATTTGTATTAAAAAATTACTATACCTTATTAGTGCTTGCCCTGTTGTCCAACTGTAATTTTTTGTTGACATCAACATTTATTTTCCAAAGTTTCTAATATTTAGAAGCAATGCTCGTTTGCTGGTCAGCTTTTGCTTTGACATCACAAAGTGCATCGATTTCTGATGTGCACCTTTCTTTTCTCCTTGATTGTATGTCACATGTTGAAATTTACCAAAATATTTGGATATATGCTTGACTTGTTCGAGAATACTACACATAAATCAACCAAGGATAATATCTCTTCAGTTTAGCAGCAAGACCTTCGTAACATCCGCTCATAACAGATGTGCCATCTGCTCCAAAGTGCAAGCAGAGTGGCGAACAAGCTCAGTTTTTTACTTGTTGGCAAAACTCCTTCATTCAAAATGGTTTCGGCATCAGTCTCTTTAAGTTTAACAAGATCATAATATCGTCCTTCGTCATTTACAAACCTAAAACAAGTCGATAGCTCTTCATGCCCCACATGATCTTTGCACTCATCGATGACCATTGAATACATCCCCATTTTGTCTATCTGTTCCTCAATCACATGTTGAACCTCAGAAGCCATGGCTCTCATCAACTTGAGCGAAGATCCCTTTGATGTGTAGTCGTATACTTTGTATGTCTGAGTCAACCTACTATGCAGTTGATTGAATGTTGGGTTAGTGCATGGCATTGCCTTGATAAATTCTTTCCACATTACAGATTTTAGTATTATTGTTGGCAGTAATAGATCAGCAATCGGAACATCTCTTGTGGTTAGCTATTTTTACTTCATGTAATCAGTGTACTAGTTATCGATTGGTTATTATTCCATGCAGGTTTAACCCTTTAAGGTTTAAAACTAGTGGAAGGAGGAGGGTAGGCATAGGGATAGTGTATTTTCCTTAATAGGTTTACAGCAGTTCCAGTATTGGGAATATTGACAAACTTTCTGAGCATACATGTTTCATCAGGATCCAATATCTGCTCACTTCCAAATACTTACGAAAATAACTGAAAGGGAACTGTATGTATGTATACTTAACACTGTATGAATTCAGAGAATGTATAGTGTATATATTTTAGTCACATTAATTATAAAAATTCTTATTGACATTCTCTCTCTCTACCGGGTGTCCCAAAAAAAACTTGCGGTGTTTGATTTTATGTAAGGCAAAAACTATAAAAGTTATTACACTCAAATAAGTCTTATTGTATTGAGAAAAGGCTAACTTAGATTTTGATATACAGCCCTAAACGTTTCACGTAATATTATGTGAGATACAAACGTTTGAATGTGGCGCACACATTAAAAATGAGTAAAAAAATAGAGAAACATGGCTAATCAAATTTATATGAAACCAAATTGCCATTTTCCACAAAAATTAACAATTTCAATTTCAGCATTTCAACTCAACTTTAATTTTGGGTAATGTCCTAGTATAAGTTAACCTTTTGTGTTTCTTGGGAAGCGAAATAAGCATGAAACATAAGGTACTCATTCCCCTTAGAAGCAAAAATTTTTATTTTTGATGATGGAGACCCAAAAATAACAGCATAGAAAAGTAAAAACTCACACAAATCACATCTTGTGGGTTTTTCCCCCATAACTCATTAATTATGCTAATTAGCCAATATGGTGGCTAATTAACGAGCATAAAATCGGTCTCACGGGAAACATGATAACTTAAGTACCACACATCACAATGAGACATACAATATACAGGGTGTATAAAAAAAAAGGTAATCGAACTTCAGCACGCTATTGTATCTGAATTACTCTGCGTATGAACGAGATTTTTTCACATTCGGAAAGATCATGCTGTTAGCTGTTGAATATCTTCTTCATGCCAAATGGATAAAAAATTGGCAAATAAGAATCCGATAAAAAATGTTAGTCAGAATCGCATATTTTCACCGTTGAGAGTTGGGTCTAAAACCATTGAAAATGAACCCCCTTAGGACTTAAGTTGATGAATTTCACTTCATTAAACTGCACACATATTCATAATTATTATTTAAGTAGGAATAGATCTTAGCTAAGCTACGATGTGTTTGTGATTAATTGCTTTTTCTTTTGTTATGCATTGTTTTAATTAGGCACATAGGTGAAACTATGCGATTTTGACTAACATTTTTAATCGGTCTCGTACATGCTTATTTTTTCTCCCCTTGGCATGAAAAGCATGTTAATCAATAGATAAAAGCCTGATCTTTCCGAATATGAAAACCAATTGTTCATACGCTGAGTAATTCACGTATAATAGCGTGCTGAAGTTCGATTACCTTTTTTTTTATACACCCTGCATATTTAGAAAGCTTATAACCTGCACTAGTGCATGACACTCTTGGAAATTTGGTAATTACTTTTTAGAAGAAAATAAAATAAGAAAACTCAATAAAATAGAAATTTTTTACTCTAAGTAAGACATTAAAAGTCAATTAGTCATCATTAAACAGAAATATTCAAATTTCAAGAGTGTCAGGCACTAAATAACTTCATTTGCCTTTAACATACAAAATTTAAGCCTGATACTACAAATATTTAAAAAGTTATTGTGTCACAAAGATCTTACTCTATGTTCAAATTATCAAAATGATAAATTGTCATTCAAAGTTACCGTTTATCTTCATTGCGCGTAGAACTGCCTCAGAAATTACCAGCTTCATAAATGACCCCTTCCTTGCCTTTGGCATCATCTATGTAACTTTTTCTTAAATGCCTGCAAACTTTTCTGCTTTTTTTCACCTTCTCAGTGCACATTTTAGCTGATAGGTTGATACGATACCGATCACAGTCATGGACTCCTTTACTTGTAAATATACCAGGAACTATGTCTAATTCAGTGAGTGTTTTTAGCAAACAAATGTCCCCATCATTGAATTTGAGAACAGCCAAGTAAGTTGCTAGGGCAACAGTTTCCTGCTCTACATAAGTTGTTTTGGGACACTGTTCGCACATGAAACCGTTCAGGCATTCATTTACATTCTGGGTCAATCCATGGGTGCATTTCTGCAACAAGCTGGGGTTACTGAGATCAACAAATATAGGCTCTATAAGCTTTACAATGCAATCAGGGATGCCATTTCTATGTTTGTATGTCTCTTTGTCTCTCTGGTAACCACACCAACTGTCATCTCCAGGTTGGACAGAGATGATGCTGAGGTTTTTCATTAGTCGATGCAACATGGAAAAGAGCTGCATTGATCTGCTTAGCCATTTCACTAACATCATTCAGATTGTTTCTCACAGCTAAACCATAATAGTTTTGTAATATATCAATCTTACCAGTAGTGAGTCTTCCTTTTCCACTCAGCCCTTTTCCACTCAGCCCTTTTCCATCACTTAATTTTACACCTTTGTTCGCATTCTTTAATCTTCTCAGTCGACTTCCAACCCTCTTCTGAACATGACCGATACATTACATCTTATTAGGAGTGCACTCTTCCCCATATGGCTTACTTTCAACAATACTATTGTGGGTTGAAGAATCACCATCACCAAGCATACTAGTGTACTTCAAGCCTCTGGTGTTAACTGATCGCTCGAAAATTTTGATTCCTCCTGCCGTTTCCATGCTGTTTGCACTCCCTTCATGGTTGATCTTGCAGTTATGCGATGCTTTCCATTCATGGTACTTAGGGTCAATTTTCTTTTTCTCCCACTTTATACATTGTTGACATTTGTCTGAAAGCACCTCTACATCAAGGCACTTCTTTGTATCCAATGAAATAGCAGTAACAATGCCATTGTGAGATGCATGTCCCCTCTTCTGCCAAGTACCATCCATTGATATACCATATTCATTGCATTAGTCAGCATTTCATTGCATTAGTCAGCATACTGTCATGAGCTAACTCTTTGACGGCAGGCAATAGCTTTTTATTATATTCTGGATTTTTGTAAAAACTCGACGGGTTGGTGGAGCTGGCATATTCATTATTTTGCAGAAGGTGACCATTGCTGCATGTCCTCGACCGATTTCTCTGAATGCCAAGACAGTTCTTACATTTGTTTCATAAGAATAGCCTTGCTTTTTAGATGAATTAAAGCAGTACTTTCAGCTACAATTCTCATTATTACATTGCAAAACAATGTAGTGAGAGAAGCCATTCTTTTTCTTAATGTCCACATGAGAAGTCACATTCAGGACATTTCAACAATTCATCAAAGACCCCAAAAAGCAAAGACAAGTCTATAAATATGGTGCCTTCTCTCGTTGTTTCAACAGGCGTAGAACTTACCCCAAATTTCGCACTTTGGTTGCCGATTTTTACACCAGAAGCTCCCTGACTGACATTGTTTTCACCGCCAACATCGCCATGTTTTGGTGGCGTTTCGCTTATTTCCCATTATTTTTAATCAGAATATAACAGGGATAATACCACTATACTAAGAAAGCAACTTTTCTACTTAAAAATGTAAAATTTTAAAGGTTTTGTAAGCAGACTTCACAGTAAAGGACAATCACTTCTGAGTGTTTTAGACAAAGACTTCACGTTGCCATGACTACCAAATTGGAACAATCAAATGCAATTATGAGAAAAGGTCCTTAAAAGACATCCACCAAAAGTAGAAATAAAAAATTACTTTTCAGAGGCAATTGTTGCTAAGGCGTTGGCTAAGGGGGAAATTATGGAAGAATGACTTCAAGAGGCTTTTTCTCACAAAACTAAATCTTTTAGGTAAAAACAAACTATGTAATCATAAAATACAGTACTTAAACTACCTAAAAAATCCTAAAAAATCGAATTTGAAAAAATCCTAAAAAATTGTCTTCCAGAGGGGAATGAGTACGTACCTTAAAAACATTCGAAAGCATATTTGATGTCCTTTGAGAGTTTGTATATTATAAAGTTGGTCCTCGTTCGCCTTTTGAATATGCTTCGATTAACAAAAGATCGAAGAGTTTGGCTTTTATGTTTTCCAGTGCAAGACATTGTATATGTGCAAGGGGACATACTTTCTATGATACATGAATAAAGGTTTATCCAACAATTATGTTCTTCATTCGTTCTTTTGGCACAATAAAACTATATAATCAAGTTTAACCAAATAATATTTGATTGGCAATTTTACGCAAATTTTTAATATTGTCAAATATGCTTATTCGATTTAAAACATCAATAGCTCATTAAATATTGCACGGATATTCCAATGTTATATATCAAAATCTAAGTTAGCCCTTTCTGAATGCAATAAAACTTATTTGGGTGCAATAGCTTTTATAGTTTTTATGTTACATTAAATGAAACAGCGCAAGTTTTTTTTGGGACACCCGATATATATATATATATATATATATATATATATATATATATAACTACAGACGGTACCGTTTCGGCCTTTTGGGCCTCATCTGTGTAGTGCTGATGAGCAGGATGAAAGTAACCACTATTAATAGTTATCTATATATCTATATATCTCTATATATCTCTATATATCTCTATATATCTCTATATATCTCTATATATCTCTATATATCTCTATATATCTCTATATATCTCTATATATCTCTATATATCTCTATATATCTCTATATATCTCTATATATCTCTATATATCTCTATATATCTATATCTATA